GGGGGGCACACATGCATATGTGTTTCATGTGGAGGCCCAAGATTGATGTCAGGAATCTTCCTGGATTGTTCTTTACTTTATTCTTTCTTTGATCATATTTACTTCCAATCCTCCCCCTAAGTCCTCTCAGATCCACCTCACCTCTTTATCCCCCAAAACTATGTGCCCCCTTTTTTAAATAGCCCATCAAGTTGAATTTGTGCCGACCATATGTCGCTGGAGGGGAGGGGCATCCACTGGATCTTGGTCATCCTGCTGGGACCACACCTCTAGGGAAAACTGACTCTCTCTCTCTCCTAGAACCTATCAACTGAAAGACATGTTTTTAAATCAATTTTTAAAACTTTGTTTGGGGAATTGTTTGTTTGTTTGAGGCAAGGTCTCACTATGTAGCTGCAGTTGACCTGGAATTTGCTATGTAGACCAGACTCCCTTGAACTCCTAGAGATCCACCTGCCTCTACCTCCTGAGTGTGGGAATAAAGGCCTATGCCATCACACCTGGATTTTTATAGTTTTTTTTCAAACCATTTTAAAGCCAGATTTAATTATCTGCCAAATCTTAAGATTAGGATATTTCACATCAAATATGTATACTTTGTTTGAATCTCAAAATTTTGTAATAGTTGATGTTGCTGCTCCCAGCAGTTGGCTGGAGCTAAGGAGCTTACTTTAGCTATCGGTGCACTTCCATTTCCCATCCTTCACTAGTCTATTCATTATTAGTGTTACCTAACTGGCTCCTATAGACATTCAAAATTTTCTGTCTTTCGTTGTTATTTTTAAGAGAAAAAAACTACATTCTTTAATACTCAAAGGATTTAAAGATGATCAGTTTTGACTTTGATGCTAATATTTCATTCAACTTAGTTTTGATTATTAACATTTTTTTGTTATGTGTGGCATATGCACATGTGTGTGTACACGTGCGTGGGTTGTGCTCATCTGGGTACCTGAAGGTACAAGTGTAATCATCTGTGTGAGCATGTAGAGGCCAGAGTTTGACTTCTGATGTCTCCTCTATCACTCTCTATTTTTTGAGACAAGTCTCTCATTGAACTTAGAGATCACTGTTTTGGCTAGATTGACTAACCAGGAAGTTGTAGAGGTCCACCTGTCTCCAACTCCAGTGCCGGGATTACAGACAAACATTCTCCCATGCGCAGCTTTTACATATGTGTGGAAGATCAGAACTCAAGTTGTAATGCTTACACAAGAAGCACATTACCTACTGAGCCATCTCCCCAGCCCCTGAACTGTTATTTTTAACATATTTTCCAAGGGTGTTTCCAACCCCTTACAATCATCCTCTACTCACACACTATCAACTTTGATATTATTATAATCTATTATCTCTATTAGTTACCTCAGCCAGATTGTACTCTCAGTGTTGAGGAAAGTCATCAACAACAAAAAAATTAAATAATTACAGAAACATTTTCATTGATTATAATTGATGCACAGGCTCTGACCTAAAAATATCACATCCATGCCCTTTCACTCCTGTTAATGTATTTCTCTCACAAGTCTGATCATCAGTAAACAAGTCAATTATCTTTACATTCAAATCACTTTATGTGATAAACCGTCAAAGGTTTGTTTCTTTTATGTGCATGAATGTTTTGCCTGCATGTTTGTAACTGCACCTGTGTGTGCCATACCTGTTGAAGCCAGGAGAGGGTGTTGGATCCCCTGGAACTGGAGTTACACATGATTGTTAAACTCTGTGTGGGTGCTGGAACTGAATCCAGGTCCTCTGCAAGAGTAGCCAGTGCTCTTAACTGCTTCAGCCCACAGTTAAAATTTTTTTATTTATTATTTTTATTTTATGTTTATGAGTATTTTTGCCTGCATGTATGTAAGTGCACCTGTGTGTATGATGCCAGAAGAAGCCAGAAGAGGGTGTCAGATCCCCTGGAACTGGAGTTATGGATGGTTGTTACCTGCCATGTGGGTGTTGAGAATTGAACCTGGGTCCTCTGGAAGACCAGCAAGTTTCCTTGACAACTGAGTCATCTCTCCAGCCCCCATCCTCCAGTTTTTTAAAATTTATTTATTTATTTATGTATTATTATCAAGTGTGTGTATGTATAATTGTGGGTGCATGCATGTGGAGCTATGAGGACAACTTTTGGGAGATGATTCTTTCCCTCCACTTTGGGATTCAGGGATTGAGCTCAAGTTATCAGATTTGTACAGCAACCACCTTTGCTAAATGAGCCATCTCACTGGCCCCTGTTTCCTCTCACAGTCTACCTTGACTCATGTGCCTCCTGACCTGGAAGCAAATTCTTCAGAAACACATTCTGCTATTTAAAAAAAAAGTAGCACATTTTTACTTTATGTATCTCAGAGTTACAGTCTACAACTGATAAAATATATAGTCACAGATACCAATTTTGCTAAGTATTAATCATAAAACTGGTGTTTTACAACCAGTCCTGATTTCTAAATGGTCCTAGATTGCCTATTTGTCACTTTATAACTCTTTTGGAGAAAGGACACCTATCAATAATTAAATTAGTATTATAATTCACTCACCCTTCACAGTATTAAAGTAGGTTAGAAGTCATATTTAATTTTATTGGATTATATTACTAAGAAAAGTAGGCACAACTAGAAATGTCAGAGTCCATACTATGTACATCTGTTTCTACTTTTCCATTTTCTTAAGATGCAATTTTTTTCATTTGTGTTCTAGCTCACACAAAACTGAATGGTGTTGATAAATTCTATTTTTCAGTAAGCAGAACTGAGTTGCAAATCTTTCACTCTGGGAACATTTCAGTAATAGAATCAGCATGTGAATGCCACTAGGGTGTGCTATAAAGTGAATCAAGTTTTATGTATTATTCCCATAAAAACTTTGTAGCTTTTCATAATTTTTCCACCAAAGATAGCTAACTGCCTAACAATAAAACATAGAGCTATCAGAGTAAAAAATTTCCTTGAAATGAACCATGTTTCAAAAGATGAAAAGCAAAACATTAAATTGCCTTTTGACAACAACTCTGACATAGCTTCATTCCTAATATATAAAAATTATCTAATATTGACATTCACATACAAAATTTGTATCACTTTCTGCCACATCCTCATTCTAAGATTTTTGCATCATATCCACTAATACTGTTTTATTTATTAAGCAATCCTTTGCCTTATTTAAATTATAAATTTTATACATTCTTAACTTTGCCTTATTTAAATCATAAACTTTATACATTCTTAACTAAACTTACCTTGTATTTATTCAGATTTACAAATGCTCTAAAAATGTTTCAGTTCACAAAAATATATATGCATTCACTTTTTAAAACAAACGAATTCCATGTTTATTTGTATAAGAAATGTGCATGTTCCCAGACATGGTGACTCATATCTATAATCTCAACATTGTGGCAGGAGGATAGAGAGTTTAAGGCAGGCCTTATCCGCAAAGAGAAAAAAAAACAATGGCAACTTAAGCACTTCAACAGAGAGAGAGAGAGAGAGAGAGAGAGAGAGAGAGAGAGAGAGAGGTTGTTTTTCAAACTTAAGCATGATCTAGTTTGTCCACTTATAGATATAAATGTCAGAAGTTGTATATATCAAAATGCATTAAGTAATTATGTCTGATAAATCATAATATGAAGGCTATTTAGTAATTAATTTCTAGAGCAGTACAATTTACAGACAGCATATTACCTTCCAAAATAAAGAAATTTACAAAATTTGTGGACTGAAAAAGGTAACACTAAATATATCTAAGAGTTTCTTAATTTATAACTAAATTTGTTTATGCTAAAGTACTTTAAAGACTGAGTCTTTTAGATTGTCTTCATTTCAAGCCCCTTGTGATGTGAGAAAAATCAGGCTCAAATTAATAAGATGATTGGATTTTGTAAGGCAGATGATGTTGCATAAGTTAAACGAAGCAAATGAATATGTTTTCTAACCCGTAGTAACCAGGTTGAGTGCACTACCTATTTGCGCTTGCTATTTACATCGAAATACTGTTTATAGCTGCCTTACTAACCATGGGCTTTTATTGCTTTCACTTAGCCAAGAGGAAGGGATTTGAATTCAATCTGTCGTTTCAACAGAGTTATGGAATTTATAGAATATCACATGCAGATTACTGTGATGATGATTCCATAGCTTACCACAACTTGAAGACCTATGAATGTGAAACTACAAAAGATTCCCAGAGAGACAGCCACATCTTCAATACCATCAAAGTAGAAATCAGCACCACCCCATCTCTGGACAGCGCCACAGTTAGCGGCATCAACAAATGCACCAACACTGATGTTGCAGAAGCCACGCCGGATGCCACCAAGCAAAACAGTGTGTTTTCTGACAGAGCAGAAACTGGTATTAACCATGAAGAAAGCACCTCTTTTGAAGGTCCAGAAAGAAGGCTATCTCATGAAGAAACTCAGAAACCAGACCTTTCTGACTGGGAGTGGTGTAGGAGCAAGTCAGAAAGAACCCCTCGTCAGGTACAGTAAAAAAGTTCTTCTTTCTGGGAAATTAAAAATAAACTAAATGTGAGAGATGTGAAAAGATTATCCATTTTTTCTTTCATTTAATCAAGTCTGAGGATAATTTCACTTGTCTCCACTAATTTCCATTATGTTGAATTTTATACCAAGGTGTCTTTTGAATGATGTTTTTAAAGTTTTATATTTTCAATCAATATCTATACATTTTGGAGTCAGTATAGTTAAATAGATTCTGAAAAGGCATAAGGCATTTTATTTTAGCTTCAAGAAATCTGATTAAATTCAGACTATACTCTGGAGCTCAAGATTCTAAGTTAATTGGTGAAATAAATTAATGTGTAGATTTTATTTTTCCTTCCTCTGTCCCTTGAAGCATCTCACAAGTCCCCAAGAGAGATTTTTATATATAAAGGCAAATATTTATACAACTAGCAATGAGGAGGGAGGTTTGTCCATTCAACTGCAGCTAGACAGCTTGCCTTACTGTCTTGTAAGAATCATTCCCTTAAGTATTTAGCACACATACAAAAAAAGATTTATTTCAGAATATGCTCTAGTGAGGCATTCCAAGCCCTGACAAATGTTTCATTCCTTTAAGTACAAAAAACTGTGCTTTGATGATCATTTAAAAGCTAAAAGAATGTGCATACAAATCTTCACTTTCTCCTGGATTCTAGTCTACTGTGAATGGCAAAGGGTTGTTATTCAGTTTACAGGGTGATTTTTGATATGAGCTCATTTCCTCTGAACGCTCGTGTTTGATAAAGTTGCCCTTGTTTTCTAGGCTATAAATTTACTATGGAGAAAAAGGGTTTTCTGAATGACTTAATGGAAACCTGAGTCTACTTCTACTTACTCTCTGGAATCAAAAGCATAACTCCAGAAATATTGTTAGGAACAAAGCATTCATTGATTAAAGGTATCACCACATATCACTAACCATGGATATGAGTAGAGCAGCCTGAAAAATACTGTTTCCTATTGTCATTCTTATATGTCAGTGTTTAAAAAGTAAAGGATTAATAAAGTGAAGTATACAAAACATATTAGAAAAGATGATTATATATATTTTTAGTAATTAGGAATCTCAGAAAAATATCGTTAATCTATTTGCCACAAATTGAGTAATACAGACAAAAGCAAGAGTCCAAGAACAAATGCTTCATAATTTTAGAACAATAAGGCTCACCAGCTAACAGGAAAATTTCCCCCCTTTCACCATCCACATATTCCTGAATAATATAAACCTAAAATTTGCACCTAAAGTTAGTATTCTTCATGATGAAGTGTGTGTTTGTGTTCCCTAGAACAGCTGTCTTAAGTGCTATTCCACTGCACCATCCTCCTGCTTGACCCTTAAAAATTACACGTCATGATTGTTACTGGTTCTTTTTTTGCTGTTTTATTTTGTCACAGATAACTGTATTTCCAATACAATATGGCAGTTAGTTTTTATAAGTTTAAACCTTTTCAAGACAATATGACACTGTAGAAAGTCTTCTGGGACTTAATTTTCAGTGAACATTGGATGAGTTAATTTTTCTAAAATGTATATGGTCAGAATAATGGGAATTATCACCTCAAGAGTCACCACCTATAGCCCTCATTTAAAATTCTTTATTACAGAAAGTGCAAGCAGTTAACTACACCTAGAAAATAAGAATAAATAAAGTGGTTTACAATGAGTTCATTTTCTTTTTATTTTTAAATTAATTTTTAATTCATGTGTATTAATGTTTTACATGCATGTACACAGGTGCACACAGCGCATGCAGTGCTCACAGAAGCCAGAAGAGAGACAGATCCCCTTGATACTGGAGTTACCAATGGTTATTAGCTGCCATGTGGGTGTTGGGAACCAAACCCAGGGCCTCTGTAAGAGCAGTCAATGCCCTTAACCACTGAGCAACCTGTCCAGCTTATAGGCATGAGTATATTTTCCTATGAGGGTGATGAAGCTCAATCTGTTCAAAACCCTCTTTAAATAAAAAATAAAATGATATGTCAAAGTAGAAAATGTTATCAATCTAGGTTTCTTTGAACTGTACAGATTTGCTGGTTAGCTGTTAGTACTTCTTCAACACCTGTGAAAAGTAAGTACTTTAGAAAATTTATACGAAATGATGACACCAAGAAAAATGATTAGTAGTAAAGTAGTGCAATACTCAAAACAGTTAAAAATTTATGAGACTAATTGACATTAAATGAAATATTACCATAAACTTTAAAAAAAACAAGAAACCCTGAAACCATAGGTTAATATTATTGGTATGACTTTATCCTCACAAAATTATTTATGATTTTTAAGGTTATCTTTAAATAAAATTATAAAATGTTCATTTTTAATTTAATAAAGCATTTTAAGTTAAAATTCTAAATATTAACAAAATACAGTTAGGACTGAAAAACTTATTAGAATTTCTCCTAAGGGCAGAAAACAGACTTTAACTCTTGGATAGTCTTGTGTGTGTGTGTGTGTGTGTGTGTGTGTGTGTGTGTGTGTTTTACATGCAAGTGCACCCAGTGCAATGTCTGTGGTTACCAGAAGAGGGCACTGGATTCTCAAACTGAAGTTACCATTACCGATGGTTGTTAGTTGCCATGGGGGTGCTGAAAACTGAACCCGGGTCCTATGCAAGAGTAGTCAGTGCTCTTAACTGCTGAGCATCTCTCGGCCACCAACTCTTGAATATTTTTCAGTAGCAATATTACATGGATGTTGATGGTGACTTAGCATTTCAATTTTTACATTTTTCTTACAGGTAGCTTCCTCGCTTCCTCTACAGCTTATACAGTAACACACTAAACTTTCGTTTAAAAGACATTACAGTTGCTGTATGAGAATCGTGTTTACTGACTGTACTTTCAAACATTTAGATTCAGTTTATCAGTTGGTATCTACCGGTGCTCCATTGAATGGCACGAGTTTGTTTTTAGGATCTGAAGAACAGTAGATCTGGTTTTCAGTATTTCATGAACTCTAGTTTTACAGTGTGCTTTGGTTAATTTTAATACTGGTGTATATTTGCTGGAACTCCTGATAGAATGGTGGTAGATATACAGATTTAAATGTGATCAAACAAGATCCATGAGTTGAGGATATTTATAAGACCTGAATGGAAAATTGTTTCTTTCTGGACGTTTCATAGGATGAATCTGAAGTTGCTCATTGTTAAAGTGTTTCTAAGGAACAGTCAGAAACATCAGAATTCTTCAGTTAGAAAGTTTTAATGTAATAACCAAGGCATGGCTTTGTTTCTGAACAAAATGTTAGTTTGTCTAGAATATAAATTTCATTATCTGTGAATAATGAAATTTGAGTTTATAAAATAACTTTGTGACTTGTGTGTCATCTGTCTTTATACTAAGCTCATAAAATTACCTGGTTTTCTGCATTCTTTTGTTCTTAATATCTTATTTAGATGCTATAAACTCACCCATTTGTTATATAAGTCAGAAATAAAAATATCTCATGAGCATGCCACTTAAGGTACTTCTAATGCTATTACACCTGAAAGAGATGCATATTTTTCTTAGGCCAGTAAAATATACAAAGTGCATTTGATACAATCCTCAAAGGCAGCACAAATTAGGAGGTAGTAATTGTGTTTGGATTTACCACACAACCACTTAGTTTAGGACATAAGTAAAGCTGGAAAGAACACATTTTCAAGACACCTAAGCATCAACCAAAATTTTATTTGTATCTTGAGCAAAGCTAGCTGTATAAAAATAGCTTTAGGAAAAATTATGTTTTGTCATTTGCTCAAAGAATTCAATGTCAGCTTTAGTTACAATATTTCTTTTGTTGTTGCTGTTGTTTCTATATTTCAATATTATAGTTTCTTTAAGTAATTTTCAAAGGAAAGTAAAGAATACTATTTTAAGTTCTTTAGATCAGAGTTTCAGTGCATAGATTATGATTAAGTACTTTTGCTGGGTCTCAGGATTCTGAATTGCTAATAGACTTCCAAGTGATTTCTATGCAAATCAAGGTCGCACCTAGGGCATACAGAACCAAACTCCCAAATCGTTCATATGCACACTAAAATTAAGAAAAAAATTAGCTATATATAGCAGTGCATACATAATCCCAGTACTCCAAACACTGAGGTACAATGATTGCCACCTGTTTGAAGCCAGCCTGGGCTACCTAGTGACCAGGCCAGCCAGGACTACATAGCAATCCCTTGTCTCAAAAAATCAAAATAATCAGCCCTCAAGAGGCAGATCTCACAGGTGTATCTCTGTGAGACTGAGGCAACCCTGATCCACATCATGATTTCCAGGCAGGCTGGGATTAGGGAAACCCTGTCAAAAACCAAACAACAACAAATAAAAAATAAAATAAATAAATAAAAACAAATAAAAATAACTTATTTTTATTCTATGTGTATGAGTATACTACCTTCATGTATGTCATTGCACCCATGTTGTGCAATGCCTGAGGAGGTCAGAAGAAGGCATCAGATACCCTGTAACTGGAACTATGGGCAATAGTTAACCACCATGTGGGTGCTGAGATTTGAACCTAGGTCTTCTGCAAGAGCAGCCAGGGCTCTTAACTGTGGAACCATGTCTCCAGCCCCCCAAAAAATAATTCTTAAGAAACAAAATTTAAGTAGCACTACTTAGATGCTGATTACTAGAGGATGGGTATACCTTTAAAGAGCAGGACAAAATCCCTCCATTCAATGTGTGCCCGTTAAATAAGACTAGACTATCCTAAGACACATATTTTTCCTATTCCTAAAGCAGTACATATTTTCTTTCTCACTTTAAGGTTGTTGGTGGGTTTTGTTTATTCATTTGTTTGTTTTTGTGACAGGGTTTCCCTGTAGCCTCAGGTGGCCTGGAAGTCTCTATGTAGACCAGGCTGGCCTTGATCTCACAGAGATCTGCCTGACTCTGCCTCCCAGGTGCCGAGATTAAATGCGTGTGCCACTATGCCCAGCACTTCATTCTCACTTAAAAAAAAATAAACTATTAAGAAGCTG